GTGGAAATATTTGAGTGTTTGCAATGGAAATGTGTGCATACATGTGTACATAATGGGGTGGATTATAAGATTTGCTCAGCATGAACTTCAGCATTTCCAACTGTGTAACCTGAGCAAGTTGGGAAGATGTGCAGATTTAATTACCATGTAAATCTATTAGCTCTGAATTTCCTGGCATTTGTTTTGCTGATGACACAACCTATATGTTATTCACTTAGTGGATTTTTTTAAATCTGTCCACATTTTTTTTAGTGCTTAAAGTGAGTAAATGCTGGTGTGAGAGTCCAAACAATTGTGTCTGCTCTTACAGCGGAATTCATTGCTGGTTTCAAATACCAGTTTTGTGTTACTCTTCATATTCTCCCACAAATGAGACATTAAATGATTTTACAGTATAATAAACACATAAAACCCAGGCTTTTTGTACCTACAGGTGAATGGTGAGATTTTTTTTTTTTTTTATGAGTGCCTGTTGTGTACCTGACAGCTCCTCCTGTGGAGGGGTGACAGATCCCTTCAGGATGAGGAGATTTGGGGTGAGCCAGGAGGGAGCCACTAACTCCCAGGAGGGTGTTATCTTGAATTTGTGGGTGTTTGTAACCCTGGCATGTGGCATGGCTGCCTTGCCCTGGTCTGCTGGGAGAGCCAGGCTTGTTTTGCAGTGTGCAGAAGGTGCTGTCACTGCAGCTCCCCTCTGGCATGGCTCTGCTGGAAAAGGTGGGATTGTGCTGCTACAAGTGGTGTGTGGCACTTGCAGCTGACGCAGTGCATTTTCCAGGCTCAGCAAAGCCTGCTACTTGCTTAAAAATTTAAATATCATTGGGAAGTGTCATTTTGGGCTCTTGACTTCTCTAGATTCCTTTTTTAATGAGTTCTTAAAAGGTCAATTTTCTGAAGATGACTTCAATATTCAGGCATGGTAACATCATCTTCAAACAACCAACTGGGCTGGTGCTGTTCTCATCTGGCTTCAGGTCAGCTGGTGGAGAAGCCAGCACTGCCATGCACCTAGCAAAACCTGAGTGTTTTGCTTCACAGACCCTCATTTGATCAGAAAAGAAATAAAAAAGCCCCTGGTCCCTGAGGCAGCTGGAGAAAAGGGCCTTTGTGTGGCAGGAAGGGGCAGATGCTGTGCAGAGCTGCAGCCCGCGGCACGGCTGGTGCGCAGCCAAATGCTACTTTCCAAGAGCTGCCCAAAAATCCCCTGTGCACCCGGATGTGAGAGCTTTCCTCTGTTTGCTCACTGCAGCAGCATGGCTGGAGGTGTTTGTGTTCCCCAAAAACACCCAGGATGTAGGCATGAGCCAGTGTCCAGGCAGATGAGTGCTGAAACTCCTCAGGGCTGCCATTTCCTTCCTGTGTGTAAACAGGAGTGCTGCTGTTTTGTTTTTCTTTTCAGGGTTCTGGGGGAAGGGGAGGTGGAAGATAAGGTTACATCTGTCCTAAATGCCTGACTTTTTACAGAGGTTAAAATCCTAGCTGAACACATCTCTTTGCTATGTGGTGAAAACAGTTTAATAATTCAAACAGACTCCTTGTACTAACACATGTCTGCAATTAGTGCTGGGGCTGCCAGTGGGGTGTGAGGATAGCAGGAATCTGGCAGCTGAGCTGTCTACAGAGGTAGTAAGAGCAAAAAGGGAAAAGAAGGACAAAAAAAAAGGCAGATTCTCAGTGCAAGTGCTCTTTCCTCTGTTTTTTCAGTTTTTGTAAAGGTGAACTCTCTGGGTGAAAGATGCCCAGCTTGAAAGCCAGAGATTCTCTTTAGACAAAGAATTTCTTTATTTTGCAAGCAAATTTATATACAAGTTCTAAGAGTCAAAGTCTCAGTTTCCTTCCCAAATTGCCCTTTCCTGTTCCTGAGCACAGGGGTGGTTGCTACTGTGTCAAAATTGAGGGTTATTCTGGGGCTTTCCAGCTATGGAAGTGGCTGATGACTGCTGAGGTGCATGTTGAAGCAGAGAGGGGAGGAGGAAGAGGAGGAGGAGAGGGGCTGGCAGTGGGAGAATGTGCTTTGAAAAGAGAAGGAGCAGCTTAGGTGTAGGTGGAAGTTTTGGGGAGCTGGAGGTCTGGATGCCCCCAGATGGTTTCTGCTTTAGCTGCTGCTCAGATGCCTTTTCTTCTTTAGTTCTCTAAGCAAACATTCAATGAGACAATGGTTTTATTTGGGACAAAAAGTGATCTAGCTTTAAGCATTCACTGTAATAGAGAAGTGTATAACATCTGAAAAATTCCTGTAAATCAATGATTTTTTAAATCAGGGAAGTCCACATCCCTAAAATTGTCTGTTTGCTGAGTTCAGTAGCTGCACAGTCTGACCTGTGGCAGTCTGTATTGGCCAGTGTACAATATTACATCACAGATCATTAAAAATAAACTTGATACTTATAATGAAACTAGAAAATCATTTTAGAAACCAGCCATTTATTTGCTTTCAGATAATTCTATTATAAATGCATATTCTTTTCTTGCTCACAGCTTGCTGCTTTGCAGCTGCATGTGAAAAGGAGAAAGCACAAATATTGACAAATGTGTTTAACATCCTTCCCTACCCTGAGGTCCTCTTTCTCTCTGGTTTTCTGAAGTTGAATGTTTGTTTCCTCCTTTGCTTTTCCTGAAGTGGTTTTAGTAAAATTCCCCATTCAGAAAGGAAAAAAATAAATAAAATCTGATGGGCCTAACTTCAGTCAAATGGAAAAGTAAAATAACATTTGATAAGATTTTGTTCCATATCAAAGCAGTGATAGACAGAAGGCTAATAAAAAATCTTTATTTGCAAATTTGCCAAAAATAGCTGAGTAGCCTGTGACTGTGTTTCTTTAAGCTGTCTGTTAAGTTATAACATCTAAATAGTCAGACTAAGTCAACACATGGGTATGATATTTTCAAGGATGACATCCTGAAATTGGATGATGCTGGTGGTGAAGCAGCTGCATGTGGAACTATGGTAGAAATACTGCAGCAGCCATATTCCAGCATCTGTACTCATCAGTCACAGTGATGCATGCAAGAATTAGAAAGAAGGAAATGCTCCAGCTTTAGGAAAATATGTAAACAAATACAATTGGCTCTTGCCATTGCTCCAAATGAAAAGAAATGTGTAGAGTGGGGGGAGAAGCATTGTCCCTAAGAAAGCCACTGCTTTTTTATAGGTTCATCCTTGACTTCTTTCCTGGATGGGAAGTACTTCTGTGACTTCTTTACACATTAATGGCTGCCTGCCCTGTTTTATTCAGTGTCTTTATTGATGTACCAGGATGTTCAACTACTCTTGTGTATCCTTTTTTCTTTGCATAGTGGGGTGGTGTAGTGGGGTGTTTATACTTTTATCCTTGTTGGGAAGCACCTGGTTGTGAAGTGCTAGTGAGTCCTTGGGTATCAAAATTAAAATAAATGAGGCTTTCTAAGGTGGTCATGACCCTCTTGCAGAGTCCTCTAAGAGTTTATTAGTGTTATGACTTACAGTAAGTAAATACGAGGCTATGAATCTGTTTTGCCATTTGTAAAGGCTTTTCTTGAGCTAGTTTGTTATTCCAGTATAGCAGCTCTGGTCCTGTTTATTGCCTTGTATTCAGTCAATATTTTCTTTTCCTCGTTGTCGGTCAGAATTGACTCAAGACTTACTGATTTTGAAAAAAGGCACAGTTAGCATTTGGAGGAGGTGCTTGAACATCCAGGAGCTCTGTGAGAGCCAGCTGTGCTCAGGGTTTTCAGCATGAGGCTTCAAGGCCACAGGTGCTGCTGGAGCAGTGAAATGTGAGGGTGTGAGCACACTGCTTCCCTTGTGGGTTTGCACAATATTGACTTGTTTAATTCTCAATTTAGCCTACAGGAAGCTGAATCTTGAATTTCAGTGCTTGTTTCTGCAGGAGAGAGCACGATGAAGAGCCAAGATCAATACTGCTTGCAAACACTAAACAGATCAAACAAACTTGGACTTTTATAGCATCATGCCTGAGCTGACAAAGATTCCTATATAAGATAGTAGATAATGGCTCATTGTTCAGAAAAGCTCATTACAATTCACTGTGCAAGTATTTTTATCCAAAAATAGAATTCTTTGTGTCAATGAGATGAACAGGAATGACTTGTTGCAGTGCAGATTTTTCATCTGTCAAAGATGTAGTTTTCTGACATTGGAAAGAAGATGAAGAGACAAGGTTTTTGGCTATTGATGGGAACTGCATTGGAGTTTGGAGGAAATAGATTGCAAGGTTTGGTTTGTGCTCATTTTGAATAATAAACAAGCATGGAATTACTCTGCTACATACAGATCTAACATGTGCTGCTGGTGTAAGGAATTCAGTGCAATAGACAAAGTGGTAATTAGTACTGGCTGTCAGGAGCTTTAGCTCTGGGGCCTAGAAGCTGGGTATGGGCTCTAGGTGGAATGCTACTTCTAAAATAGATACATAAATCAACCAGGAAACCCATTTTATAGCAAATGTGTTAATTGCTTGGCTGTGGATGTGCATGGACCCGTTTTCCTGGAGCACACGGAATGTTCTGCACTGCTAAAACAGTCATATGTGGTGTCAGTCTGTGCTGGAATGTGTTTCATTTTTCCTCTGTGCTTCAGTGAACATTAACCCCTTATATTCTATTCCATACACAATATGTTCTGGTGATAGATCCTGCAGGATCTTTCATTCTGTCTGAGGGAGATGCGCTTTCCCATTTTTCCCACTACAGTGCACCATAGTGAGTACCTTTGGTGTGGCAGGAGGAGACTGCTTCAGGACATGAGTACCATGCTTCCATTTTTGTTGCAGTTTAATGACAAGCTCTTCTGTTGTAATGCATGCCTCTTTTGTTCTAGCTGTAGCTCTTCAGCTTGAAGCAGTGATTGGAGGAGGTTGTTAGACAGGGCTGGTAGATCCTGCTGCTGACTGGCACGGATGACCAGGGCACATACAGAATTGTTCTCATCTATTCCCTCCTGTTGTTGGCATGACAGACAGCAAGGAGATAAACTTTCCCCTGCCTTTTTGTCTCCACAGCACTTCACAGAGTTCCTGGATGAATTTTCACCTGATGTCCTAGGCCAGCTGTTGAATGACCCCTTCTTGTCTGAGAAGAATGAGATCATGGAGGTGGAACTGTCTCCAGCATCCCCAGCACCCCTCATCCAGGCTGAGCACAGCTATTCCCTCTGTGGGGACTCTCGACCCCAGTCTCCCCTGACCCACATCTCCACTGATGACAACTTTAATGAAGGTACAGCACACTGAGCCCTTGTTCATCTGTTGTGATGATGCAGTAATGAAATGCTCCTGGTGGAACCGTGGCTGTGGAAAATGGTGATGCACAGAAATTGATGAAAACCCATAGCATTTTTAACAGCTACCTGTAATTCAGCAGTTATAAACATCTGGAGGGGAAAAGGGGGAAGGGCAAGAATGGTGGGAGGAGGAGATCCAACCTTCTTGTTCTGGTGTGAAGTGGTTGGTAGAGGAGCAAGACCATGAATATCTGGTAACTATAAGGAATAATTGCAATGCCAGACTCCTAAAAATTGGTTTATCTTCACAATTAGTTTTACAGTACAAAGCAGTGGAGTGTTAAGCTGCATTAGAATGAAAGGGAGAAAGATTAGTGCTTTTGGCTAAGCACTGACCAGCTAAACTGTTTGTGAAGATCCACCAGACAGGTCTTCAAAGGCTGACAGTTTTGTAGTCCAAAGTGCTCAGTTGGAACAAGATGAAATCTTCCTGCGATTTGACAAGAGGGCAACTAATAAAACCTGTGAGAAAGATTTTTCAATGTGGGTCAGGATTTTTCGAAATGATTGGGAAACATAATCTACAAAAATTTTTCTTTTTCCTAGCTGGTTTATAAGAATATTTTAAAATTAACACGTATAGGAGATATTAATTGTGGAAGGGAAAACAAGCACAAGGAACATCAGAAACAAAACTTTTCTGGAAGTTAATAGGGGGAAGCTTCAAATTAGGCTAAAAGTGAGGGAGTTTCCTTGGGGGAAAATTTCTGAAGAAATTCATACTGCTGAGACCACTGTAATAGAGCTGTAGTCAAATGATGTTTGAAACGCTGAGAAACATTAACAAGTGGGTTTAAAAATAGAAAATGAATGGGAAACATTTCATCTTATGTTCACTCTGCAGAGTGTTTCATAAGAGAGGAGGAGGAGGAGGAGGAGGAGGAGGAGGAGGAGGAGGAGTTGTTCTTGGTGTTTGGGAATTTATTTAATCCTAACCCCAGAATCGTGCTCACAACCTTTCTGTGCCTATTGACTTCAATAGAGTGAAGTTCAGAGAAGTACATAAGGAAATTGCAATATTAGAGTGAACCTGGCTGTCTGATAGATATTCAAAGGCATCACCCTGATGATTTTCCATTCCTTGAATCTGTGAGATCAGGAAAAGAGGATTTTGTGGATGGCAGTACTGCAGGGCTTGACACTGGGGATTGAAGGCATCTCTGTTATTAGAACAGTGAAGGTACACAGTGCTCCTGACAACTCCAGTGAAGGCCAGTCCCCTGGGTGGGGTAAGGGCACAGGTACTGGGAGCACCAGTGTCCTTTTGGGGAGCAGAAATACAGAGTGTGGAGGGGGAGGTCTGTATGCTCCAACCCTCTGCTGCTGGGGAGCTGGGAGGGGTTTTGTGGGGTGGCAGGAGCTGAGACATATGTGGAATATCCCAAAAATTTGCATTTTCCAGAAACCCATCCCAGTGGGCAAATTGGAGAGGTCTTGTAGTGTTTTCATGATTTCTCCCTGGTGAGGGATGGTTTTTGAGCTTCAGCATGCAGGGAGGCTGAGAAAAAGGCCGTCCTTGCTCAGCACATGATCTTCAAGACAGGTTTAAGCCTTATGGTGTCTGTTTCCATCTTTTGTTTTCCCCCCCTGTTGCAATAGGACACGAAATGAACAACACTCACACTCTGAGATGTTCAAGGCAAAAAACGCGCGTTTATTTCTGGGCTTCAATATTTATAGAATTCCAAAAGTGACCATGGCTTGGAGGATGAAATTGCTACCTCTCCAACCACACTGCTCAAACCAACAGTCCATCAATTCTCTCCTCCTCCAGAAAGGAATGCAAACCAATCATTATTTACATGAAAAGTGCATGAGAAACTCCATTACAAAAATGTAAACATCAAAAAGCTTAGCAAAACTTTAAAAGAACAGAGCAACATCCCCCCTGCCCCAAGTCTTCACAACCTCACTGAAAATATTATTTAATGTTTCCTCTCAGACAATGTTATTTAATGTTTCCTTTCAGCCATTATGGTGGAGTAATTGGTTGCTCTGATTCCATTTTCCTGCCCACTCCTGCAGGGGAATGAGTAATTTCTGCTGTGAGCTGTTTCTTGCTGGCCTCTGCTTGGCCATTACTGTAATTTCTGCAGCTGCTGAATTGACCTATTCCTGTAATTGTAAATTTTATATGAAGTTTTTCTAAAAAGAGCTAGAACTGTAAAACTTAGGAAACTCATAAGTCTGGGTTTAACTTTTCTGAGAAGTTCTGTTAAGTTCAAGGTGAGCACACATTTAAGTGTCCATAAAGTCAAGGTCCAAACACTGGCTTCCCCCACTTACTCTTCTGACTTCACTGTTTTGAGGCCATTTCCCCAGCTTTGTGCAGAATAACTTTTCTGAATACTTGCAGCCTGTTGCTAGTGTGGGCTTTCTGAAGGTGTCAGTTTTAAACCACATGTATACAAGACATCTGCTACTTAATGCATTATTTGGTTTCTTCCCATGATGAGAATCTATTCTTAGATTCAGTTTTGCATAAACTTTAAAGATACTGGAGAGAGAGAGATATACAGGCTTGACCAGCCTGCTTGCAGCTGGTTGATCACTTTTGTTTGCCTGAAGTGGTGAATAAGGAATATGGCCTGGGGAGGGCTTCAGGCTGCAACATGAATAAGGAGGCTGTGTCCCGTGTACAAACTATCCACACCAGCTGCACTGCCACCTCTCCTCCACCAGGTTTCTGCTTTCTAGTTTTGAGCCCTGGGGTTTCTGAAACAACTGCAGAGTGGCTGTGGAGAAGGACAGTGGGTAGCTGTGGAGTGGAGAATGCTCTTGAAAGGACATGAAGAAGCTGGGAGGGCAGACTGGGAATAGGGCTGATGGGTAAGGGAGATCTCATTGCAGCCTTTTGGGGCACAGAGTCATTTCTGACAACTGTAAAGAAGTAGGGAAAGAAGCCTGGTTTTCTGTTGTGGTCAGTGCAGGTTTGTCTTCAGTTTTCCAGTTTCTGCAGCCTTTTAGAAAGGGAGGGCTGTGGGTCAGACAGCCAGGAGCAAGGCAAGACCCAGGTTTCAGCAGGCACTAGGGTTATTCTTGTGACTAACAGGCTCAAGAGTGTAGGCTCTCTCCCTGCCCTCCCGTGCTTGATCTTGTTAGCTGTGGGCACAAACTTTGGGATTGTGCTGTCCCTTGTTTTGGCCATGTGAGATGCATGGGTGACAGAGCCTGCAGCATCTGTGTGGGGCTATTCATCCTCTGAGATCAGTTCAAGTGCTGGGGGTGTGTTGTGGTGAGTGTGTGTTTGATTTTCCTGCTGTTTTTCACTTTGTGAGCCTGGCAGGGCAGAGCAAATGGGCAGCTGGCCAGTCACTTGGATGCTCTGTCTCCTCAGATTGTGACCAGGTTGCTGGGTGCATTCCTTCCCCAGTCCCCAGAGGGCTCTGCTTTTGAGGCTACTCTGGGTCCCCACTTGCCCCTCCTGCTGGTGCTTTCCTGCTCAGGAATGCTTTGAAGTTACTTTTGGATTTGAAGAGGCTTGTCTTGGCTGAAGGTTTGACAGACTGATTGCTGAAATGGTGTGTTTGTGTTTTACTCCTAGCTGTGCCAAAACTGGGGCTGGCCCCAGACTGTAACCTGTATTGTTACTGAGTTTTTTACCGCTGAGGTTATGATTTTCTGTAATGTGCTTTTCAAACTCGAATTTTCTTTTTCAACTTTTAAACTTCAAGTCCATCTCCATACATGGTTTGAAAAAGAAAAACACAAACAAATAAGAAACCCAAATGAACCAAATGAAACCCCCAGCACCATGGCTCCCACTTTTCTCCCTTCAACAATAAATCCATCCCTCATCTCAGGCAGGGCTATGAAAAAGCTTTGTTTAAGTATGGAGTTCACAAGCAGTAATCAGTCATGTGCTGTCTCTGGGCTTGAGGCTCACATTGGTCTTCATGTGTTTTATTTGTGTCCATGTGTATGCACACATTTAATATACATGTATATATGTGAGTCATAAGAGTTTTATTATTTGTATTAGGTTATATTACATATCCTAATTTATTTTCTATATATAGAGAGGTACAATGTCCTGCTACTGTCTGTTTTTGTCCAAATACTGAATCACTGTAATGTGAACAATGAAAATGGGAATTGCTGCTGCCCTGACTTTAAAGAAAACAGAAAGGAAAGAACAAACTCACTTATGCTTTCAAAAGTTGCTGTCAAAGCCACACTGGTAATTTTTTAGAGCATATTCCTACAACTTGTTTTTTGTGTAATTTTTTTTTTCTTTTGTGTGTTTATTTAGGAAATGAGGAGAAAGCCATTTAGTGGGAGTGGCCTGTGTTTGTATTGATTTTTATGTGGAAAGGTAGCAGTCAATCCTTGTCACCATCTGCAGTGTTAAATTAATAGAAACATAGAATACTCTGTGTTGGAAGGCACCCATCAGGACCATCAAGTCTAGTTCCTGGCCCTGCACAGGACACCCCAAGAATCACACCATGTGCCTGAAAGCATTGCTCTCTATGAGAATAACTCAATTCATACCAGAGTATAAGATTTTTGAACTTCTGTATATCCAAGGTGCACAGTCTCAACAGGTCACTCTACATCAACCCTGTAACTCCTCCTTGAGCAGCAGCATGTCTGAAAAATGCTGGTCTTGATTTAGAGGTGGGCGTTTACTTATGGTTACTGTTAATTGTCAGCTTTATTTGCAGTCTGGCCTCCTTTAGCTTCCAGTTACACACAGATGAGATCTCATTATAGCCTTTGTTTCTTTTAAAGAACCATCTTCTCTCTGAAACCTCTTTCCCTAGGTGTTTGTAGGCTGTGATTAAGTTCTCTCTTGACTGCTGCTTGGATACAGTCTAAATGAACTGTACTTCCTTGATGTTTCCCCCTAGGTGGAATCTTCTGGACCTTCAGCTGTTGCTGTGCCTTTCTCAATGCAGGGACCTTTGCAGTTTCTTTTCCAAACTCTTTGTCA